AACCATTAGCCAAATATACTATCAATAAAATCCTGGGTCGCAAGTACTTACCTTAATATTTAAAAAAAAAAAAAAAATTAAGTGTACTATCCTTTATAGGCATTAATCAATTGACATCTAGCTTTCAGATTTGATATAATCTATAAACTACTGCATTGCTATCAAGTCTTTTTACTTCAGATTGCTTATTGACTTCTCTGACCAGAAATTTTTTATCTATTCCTACCCAAAATCCTGGTTTCGTTTTCTTTGTAAGTATAACATTGGGGCCACCCCTGATGTATTTTCTATCTGCCTTTTTTGATTCATGAATAGGCTCATATTTATTAATAATTTTAAAAGTGATCATTGTTTGAGATTCATCTTTATATACAGAATCATTTCTAATAAATTTTATCTTTATTAAGAACTCACTATTGTCAATTGCATTTAAAATTTCTTGGGCTTGCTCTTCAATTATCACAGCTTCATATTTTTTGAATTCTATTTCTGCAAACCAGGTTAAGAAAGCATATTCAGCACCATCTACTTTAAACATGTCTTTTGCTATCTGAATACTCTTTTGCCATACTTTCTGATGCCATTCTTTATCTGGAAACAAAACTGGCCAAGATACTTTTTTATCTAAATCTTTTGGATCTTTTTCAGACTTATCTTTTTGGTTAATGATTTCAGAAGTTGGGATTTCTTTCCTCTGATCTTTTCTTTGCCTTTTTCTGTATACTTGAGTAGTCAGACCAAATTTTGCTTCAGAATCTTCTTCTATTGGTTGGGATACTTTGATTTTCTTTTGCCATTTACTAGAAGACTCTTCCATTAAATCAAATTATTCTATATCTGTTTTTGGGACCTTTTTATTAATAATGGTTAGGTTATTTTTTATCTTAGAATTTGCAAACCAGTTAGCCAAATCCTCTATAGATAAATGCATTGTTTGGCCTCTTTTAGATCCTTCTTTTTCACGAACATAGACTACAGAAGATAGAGGATTAGATGCTAGTGATTGAGGTCTGGATATATTAGGGTTAGGTAAATAAACTAGATTGAGTATTTGGATTTGTTTGTACTTAAATTTTCTGTTAAGATGATTTGTTAAATCATGAGTCTTTTTAAAGTTATTCTTTTTACATCAAGAACATTAGAGTACCATTTTTAATAGTAAGTGAATTAATTAAGTTCTTTGTATTAATAATATAAAAACTTTTGTTCAAATAATAATTAATTATCCTCTTTTGATCTTTTAATTGGCAGTAGATAGCCTGAAAAAATTTATATCTATCCTAAAAATTTACACCTATTCTATTTTTTTATATCAGAATTACAATCAGAAAAGCATTCAAAAGCAAGAAAACAAATTAGCAAACTTAAGATTAACAAGCTTCAGAAAGATAAAAAGACAAATTAGCAAACTTAAAGTTAACAAAAGCTTAGATAGGTAAAAAAACAAATTAACAATCTCAATGAGAAGAAGGCATTAGAATTTAATCTCTGTATATAAAAATTTACATCATAATTATAAAGCTTCTAATCTAATTCTAAAGCTAAGTAGAGTAGCAAAAATAATATATTTTTTATATATGATAGTGAATCCTATAAGGCCCATAAGAATGATCTAGTAGTATTTTTTTTACACGTATAAGTCTGCTTACGCTCCCTGCTGCTAACAGTATCATTAAAAGTTTGTGCTATCTCTTTACTTAGGAATTTCTAAATAGAATTCCAACTTCTTAATTTCTTAGTCTTTTGTGCTTGGCAGTCTTATTATAAGTTTGTACCAAAGTCTTATGCAACAACATTTTTCTATATATATATAATGTTACACTTCGTATAGATATCCTAAGCTTTTAATAATGAGTAGGCCTTGACTTGGTGTATTTAAATTACAGCTGTATAAAGCTAACCAATTGACAGAAGACAGTTTCTATAATACAGTTTAATTTCTAAATTTTATCATAAGTAGGATTTGAATCTTAAACCTGCCACTTAGAAAATAACAACCCAACCACTATATTAGGATCATTATTCTCTATTATCTCTATTCTTAAGTAATTTACTTTATATTACTATATAGATTTTACATATTAGCGGATTTACAGAATTGATTCTAAATTGATTCTAAATTGTATCCTCAAAGTTATCCTCAAAATGAATACCAAATTTTGTAACAAACAATATACGATTGATATATGTAAATATATATAAAATAATTTAAGAAGTAAATAGATATGTATATATAATTATACGTATATAGTATTTATATAATATTGAATTGTTACCCCTTAATTTATTGACAAAAAGGTCGTACGTA